TATGCAGGCTTTTTCTTCCTGCACTCCCAGAAATTCTAACTCCACATTTCTATTTTTTTAAATGATTATTTTGTAATTTGTAAAAGTGACATCTGGATTATTTGTTTTGGAAACCTTTTAGAACAGGTTATCCAAAATATTTGGAACAGAATTTTAAGAATAAGATTTTCAGAAGGGAATTTCCAAAATAATCTTTTTTGAACAGATGAAATGTATTATGGAATAAGCTTTCCTTAACAAGAAACTTAAGAAGAAGATTTTCGGAACATGTGTTCTATCTTTCTGAACAACTTTTTTAGAATAATATTTCCAAAACAAGTTTTCTGAAACATATGAAATGCGTTCTGAAATGAGTTTAGGAACGAGCTTTTCTTCCTCAACATGTTTTTTTCTTCTTCTTCCTCTTTAGAGGTGATGGGGTATAAATAGTAGAAACAATGATGGAGTGATGGTATGGTGCAGTGAAGAAGAATATTTTAGTCTTTTTAAATAAGTATGAGGTTTAGTTAGTAATAATAGAAGTAGAGAAAGAAAGAGTCCATACCGCATAACTAGCTGTTGCAGGCCCATTGAATTATGTTAGTGCAATGTGTATCCACAATACATGGTCAAGAGTATTAAATATATTTTATTACTTTTTCTAGATCTTAAAAAATTAATCATTAAAAGATACATATATTTTAAGACGATAAATGTTTTTAATTAAAAACCTTTATTTTAAAATTTCCATCTATACAGGTCACACATAAAAGAAAACAATAATATCAAATCTTCATTGAATGGTCTAAGTTTTGAGATAAATATATTTTTTTATGAGTATATCCTTCACGAAAGTGCAATAAGTATCATGAGTTGTAAAAATCTCACTTTAAATTCACGCTCAGTTATAATTTTGAAATATATTAAGAGTATTTAAAATCACCTGGAAGGATGAATGCCCTTTTGGTCTCTCATTCAAATAGTATATATATTGATTTTATTTTGGAAAAAATACGAGCTTTGTCTAAGATTAATGAGTGCTTTTGAAGAAATTATTATTGTTTAAATCAATTTTAATAATAAATTGTCTCCATTCAAGATTCTTCATACTTGATCCAACATGATTTTTGACTTTGCAGTCGTGAATCCGTCAACTTGTCAACCACATCCTGTACTTAATATGGTTCATGTTTGTGTTGAACTAAATATGGTTGGTACATCCCTAACCAAATATCTTTCATATACGAATCCTCAACCGGATTGCTTGTCATTCTAAGTGATCCACCTCTAAAATGTGGCCCATACATGCTTATTTGAATTTCAACATATTTTACGATAAATAATCAAATTAGTAACCACTTTCACATGCCACTAGAAGAATAATTATTGTTTTAATTAACTTAAGGAAATATCAGTGCCAGATGAATGAACTTCAGTTAATAATACATACTGGTTTGGAGCAAAATAGTTTGAGTTTGATTTTCGCACAAGAACACAGGAAAAAAAACTGAAGTGTTAGGTTTAGATCGACGATTAGTCTCATAATCTTTCAAAAAACTAAAGTTTGTAGAATTTAGATTGTCCAAAAGGGTTATGAAAAAACACTATCTTTCAAACAAATCTATGTCGAAAAGTTGGTAAATCTTTATAGAAAGTTGCTGAGAAGGTCTCTATGTGGGATTAGTGATGTATTAATTAATCTCCGGCAGTGAAGTTGAACGATGCATGGTTGAGGCGAGTCGATACTAGGTTAGATTTGTTGTGGTGTTGGTGACTAAATTCCTGAGGTCACTGTCCAACTTTTCACACTGCAACGAAAAGCCTAGTGACCGACAATATAAAAGAAATGTTGCATAATTTATCAGCTTTTTGTAGCTGCTAGGTTCTTCCCCCCTTCCCTTTACTTTAGCCTTGTTTAATGATTTATTGTTTTGGCTCGTGCCTTCGTGCTACCAAGTCTTTCGAAGATATACTTCAGCAGCCTCTAGACTTTTTAAGAAATTATTTGTACTACTATTGCTCTTTGTGGGTTACATTGATGCCACTGTGCAAATGGCTACCAACACTTTTGAGTAATGATTAGCAGCGTGACTCAACCTATCACTGATAGATAAAAGATTCACTCATTCACAAATGATATATATAATAGTTTTGTTCCAACTTAGAATTGATATTTTCTTTGGCTAAGGTATCAATTAATGTTGTTTCAAATTGCGGGTGCAATGTGATTCCAAACAATGCTTTGGAGTTGTTATAATGTCAACTTAAGAAATGATGTAGTATACTAGAAGTTTATATATACATTATTAAGATAAATTGTGAAGATGCGTATGCAGAGAGGAGGGGGATGGTGTGCAGATTCAAAACAGCTTTGAAACCTCAAAAGAACTTAGTTGTTAAAGGATAATGGATGGGACAAAACAAAATGGAAAAGTTTAAAAATACCAGCTTGCAATTATAACAGGTGTGCGTGTCACTCTCATGGAAAGGACAGTTAGGTAGGAAAAGCATTCGAGTTTGTGGTAGATTATTTTAGCTGTATTGCGGCCAAAAGGTTGAAAACAGAGGCACGTGGCTTGCAGCAGGGAAGAACAAGAGCCTACAAATGTTGGCACCTAATCGTGGAAGATAGAAGGGAAAACCATTCAAATGCCAATAAACATTATCCAAATTCGACGACAAAAGCATGTCACAAACACAATACTCCACCATTTTCAAGATCATATCTGCCTCATCCTATGTAATGCTTACTTAGTTCATGAACACTTTGATGTATATTTTCAGAGACCGCCACGTCTGAAGAAAACTCTACATGTACTAATAATTTATCTTTTTTCCATTAATATATATATAAGCCCATTAATTACTTTAATTTATTATGTTATTAGTACAAATAGTCTCATCATTTTGTTACCAAAATTATTTATCTATAACATTGGAACTAGTTGTAGGTCTCAGCATTAGAATTTTCGCATAATTCAAATCCTCAAAAATGGTTTACGAGGAAAAAGAATTCATCTATATATATTTGGGTTTTGGAAAGAAGATCATGAATCCGTGCAAGTGATTATGAATCTCGTACAAACTTAATATTTTAATTAAAAGTTTCATAATATATATATATATATATATATATATATATATATATATATATATATATATATATATATATATATATATAATCCTTAGTAATTTGAAACTAAGGTTATTTTTTTTGGATAAATATAGTGTAGATGTGGATATCCTTGGTAATTTATGTATAAGCGTATTTTAATTTGAATGGAATTAATTTTAATTTATTTTCTTATATACTTCTTTAGGAAGAAGTTTTTCCAAACATGTCTACTTTGACTAAAAGTATAAAAATAAAATATTTATTTCACATGCATTTTTTATTTGAATTAGTGTAAAATTAATCATTAACATAAGTTTTGTATAAAAATTTATGCAAAACTTTTTATGTTCTCAGACAATTGAATAAAGTTTTTAGACTTTTGACATATGTTAAAGGTTTGACAATTTATTGTTAATTTTGATCAAGCCTTCATGAATTTGTTTTTTTTACTATTCCAAAGAGCTTCTTACCAATAAAGACATGTTATGTATATATAAACTCATGTTCATCTCTTGTTTTATCTTATGTGAGACTTTGTTTGTACTTAACAAAACGTCGTTATACACTTTTAATGGAAGATTTCGCACAAACATGAAAAAGAAAAATGAGGACATAGAGATTGTTTCTCAAATTTTAAAAGTCAAATTGATGTCAGATACTCTCACAATAAAAGTCTGTTACTACTGAGTAGGTTCGACCGATTGGCGATGGAAGTCAATCACTCCCGGTCGGCCAATAGAGTAATACTTGCGTGAGGTAAATTAATGGATTATATTCCTTAAAGCCCTATGAATAACAATTGATTAGGAAGGTAAAGTCCAATTTTTCTGATTTTGATAGACTTGCGGAGATAAATTCTGACTTGAGCGTCAGAGTGTTTTCTGCAGGTCATCCCCCATTTTGACATTGAGAAAGGAAGATCCAGGCGGTAAGACAGGAGCACGGAGGACCGATCGGTGGAGACGAAGCATTCCCGATCGGTGGAGACAAACTTTCGCACGCGCTGCCACACCACCCATTGTGGAATTTCCGGAAACGGAACAGGACTCGGAAGAAGACACAGATCCTGCTGGCAGTAGTCATCACCAAGGTGAGGGTCATGGTCGTCACCAAGGTGAGGCTTACAGCGAGGCCGGCTCACACAGCGGCGGTCATGGAGGAACAAATCCCTGAAAGAGCATTCCTAGTCTTGGAGAAGTATGATGGATCAGGCGACCCGGAGGAACACTTGAGGTCTTTTGTTGTTGTGGTGTAGAGTCTTTTCCTTATCAATAAAGGGAGAAGCGTTAGCATGGTTCCATTCACATAGACCCCGAACCATCAACAATTTCGCAACCTTAAGGGACATGTTTGAACGGTAGTTTTCTGCCAGAAAAGCTCGAAATTTGACGTACCTGGAGTTGACAAACATTAAGCAGGAGGAGGGAGAAAGTCTTAGAGATTTCATGGACCGGTTCAACAAGACCGCCCGGTAAGTGAGGGAAGTAGGCAAAAAATTCACAATTAGCACTTTGGCTACGGCGTTGAGGCCTTCCCCTTTCGCAGACAATTTGTTCGCGGAACCCCGATAACCCTGGATGAGTTACAAGAAAGAGTAGCAAAGTTCATCAGAATAGAGGAGATGAGAGCTGTTTAAAGACGACAACAGGAAGAAAGTTCAACGTCAGGACAAGAGAAGAAAGAAGGGAAGAATCCATTCGTGCCTGGTGAGCGTCCAAAAGGCCAGAAATACAAAGATGGTCCGAAAGGACCCAGATTCGAAAAGTATACCCCACTGAACGTGCCAAGGACTAGAGTCTTGGAAGAAGCCCTGAGTGCTGATCGTATCCGTGTAAGACCCTCTCGGTCGTCAACAAAGGCCGACGGGACTAAGCATTGTACCTACCATCTCAATATAGGACATACCATGGAAGACTGCACGGTGTTGAGAGATAAGGTGGAGGAACTGCTTCGGGCAGGCCATTTGAGGAAGTTTTTGAAGGAGGAACGGAGGACGAGAAGTCCACTGAGAAGGGCTAGGATGGAACGAAATGATAGAAAAGATGATAGACACCCGGACCGTAGGCGAAGCAGAAGTCGTAGCCACGACCGATCACTGCGCGACATAATAAACACTATTTCTGGAGGTTTTGTTCGAGGGCGGTCGGCGTCAGCCAGGAAGAGGAGCCTGAGGGAGTTAAAGAGTGTTCATCGAGTAGATGTGAGGAAGCGCTCAATGCCGCCGATCATATTCACTGATGAAGATTTTCAAGCTCCTGATCCTGATCAAGATGATTCGATGGTGATAATAGTTGTTATCGCTCGGTACAGTGTGGGGAAGGTCTTGATAGATCAGGGGAGCTCTATTAATATCCTTTACTGAAAGACATTCCAACAGATGGATTTATCAGAGGATCTGATAGCCAACAGATGGATTTATCAGAGGATCTGATAGCTCCATATAACGAGCAGATAGTAGGATTTTCTGGAGAAAGGGTGGATACAAGAGGATATGTGGACTTAAGAACCTACTTAGGGACCGAACGGAATGATAAGGAGGTGAAGACCAGGTTTTTGTTGGTAGAAGAAAACACGTCCTATAATGTGTTGTTAGGCAGACCTTGCCTAAATGCATTTGGGGTGATTGTCTCCACGCTCCACCTCAAGCTCAAGTTCCCGTCGGATAGGGGAACTATTTGTACCGTTCGGGCGAATCAAAGGATTGCCCGAGAATGTTATGTAGCAGGACTGAGGGTTCAACCATCCTCTTCCCGGCAGAGGGTAATATGATCGGAGGTAGCCATGGCAGATTTGGATTCAAGAACTAATACCAATGACCGGATGGAACCAATGGGAGAAACGAGGCCTTTCAGCTTGGGGCGTAAGGAGTAACAAGTTACTACCATTGGAAGTGAGTTGAAGGAGGAACAAGCCCGATCTATAGGAGCCGAGTTGAAGAAAAACAAGAATTTGTTTGCCTGGACTGCCGCTGATATGCCAAGAATCCACCCAAGAATTGTCACATAAGCTAGCATTATTTAAGGAAGCCCACCCGGTAGCTCAGAAGAAGAGGAGATTGGGGGAAGAGAAGAGACTCGCGGTAGAGAGCGAAGTTAAGAAGTTATGGGAAGCAAAATTCATCCGTGAAATCAAATATACAACTTGGTTGGCAAACATTGTGATGGTGAAAAAGTAGAACGGCCAATGGAGAATGTGCACGGACTTCACGGATTTAAATAAAGCTTGTCCCAAGGATTCTTATCCACTACCAATCATTGATGCATTAGTGGATGGGGCGTCGGGGTTCCAAGTGTTGAGCTTCTTGGATGCATACTCGGGATACAATCAAATCCCCATGTACCCCCCGAACAGTGATAAAACGGCGGTCTTCATAACCGAACGGTCTAACTATTGTTACGAGGTTATGTCGTTCGGTTTGAAGAACGCGGGAGCAACTTACCAACGATTGATGGACAAAGTCTTTTGTCACCAGATTGGTAGATGTATGAAGGTGTATGTTGGTGGTCTGAAGCTGTTCGGTGGAGGATCATGTGAAGGACCTTGTGGAGGGTTTTCATCAGGTATGAAAGTATAATATGCGTCTCAACCCAGCTAAATGCACTTTCGGAATACCGACGGGAAAATTCCTAAATTTTTTACTGACGATCAGAAGAATAGAAGCAAACACCAACAAGTGCAAGGTGATACTTGAAATGAGGAGCCCTCAAAATTTGAAAGAGGTTTAACGACTGGTAGGAGGACTGACTTCGGTGTCGCGTTTTATATCTATTTATAATTTATTAGCGCTAGCAAACATTAAATATATTATAAGTGAATCCAATGTCAATTAAATCGAAATATTTATAAAAATATCTCGACATATTTTTACCATCAAATTTTATTACTTATAACGTGAACTTGATGACGTTATAAATTTGTTTTGCACTAGTGTTCGAAATTGTTTTATAATTATCTATATTATTTTAACCTTAATTTTTTAAGACAATTTTTTTTTCTAGTACACACCTTCTAATGCCTACTACTTTTAAGCTTGAGGCATAAATGATAAGGTAACTTATTCAACAGCATATATAAAATCATTATGACTGTATATAACCCATCGTACTTACAATATTTTATTAAGTATTATATATACGTAGGATTCTGATTGAATACGAGGCAGCGATACGTCGTGGCTAACTAACGAAGCACTTAATTGAAGATAGTAATCTGGACGCAACTATCTTCTCATATGGAATAATGGTTTTAAGTTGTGACTATTGATTTAATGTCCATGTACGTAACACATATCATAGCTTTTCCTTCTTTCACTTCATTCCTCTATTGAAACTTTTGTCTTTTCCTGTTCGTTTTCTTGTTTCTAATTATTTTGACCGTTCATGATAATGTCAATAATAATAATAATATAAATCGGATCACGTAAGCACGTACATTGGCTAGCATAAATGATATGAAATTTTTTTCAAAGATTTGGTTTATTTTCTCTTCAATGTAATTCTTTATTCTTATATAAATAACTAATTTATGGAGTGCATTGGGTGATTGAAACACTGAGAAGGGGTGGTTCTGATTTTAGTTTTGGTTCTTGTTCAGGTGGGTAAACCCTAAAGAACATTTTTGCTTTACCAAAAAAACAAAGAAGAATGGCCCCGGCGGCAGCACTTGGGAATATAATAAACGTGTAGATTCTTTGTAATTGTAGTATTGTTGCATAGAAGCACGTGGTGATGGTTTAAGAAAGGCCCAGTCTCGTCCAGCGTGGGAGTTTGTACGATGAATAAGGATGTCTTACTTAGAGCCACAATATTTTGTTCATTATTAAATAAGAGAAAATCTAAAAATTAGGGGAGAAGAAGGATTCTTGTTCTTGACAATTTAGTTCAACTAACCACCATCATCCAAAATGCCTCACATTTTTCATTTTTATTCTCTGCCCCTCAGTTCCTCTGCATACATCATACCTAGATGCGCACTATTTTCACTCTCATTTTGCCTAAATATTACAACAATTTTTTTTTTATTCTTAAAATATCAACTTTCGAATTTACATTCATTTATATAATACAGACCATCTCCATTAGACTGATAAACATCCCAAAAAATACTGATACTAAACAAAAATACGGAAGCACAAGTTTACTGATAAACAGTAACATAACGATCCTAAATAAAAATATGATACATCATTTTAACTTAGTATAACTGTATAACCCGATTATTATAGAATAATATATATATATTACCAACAGTGGTGGACCTTAACGGTGGTGACAGAGGGTGTCTTTGACCCTCCCAGATATTTTTATATTTATATAAATTAATATATAATTTATAATATTTTTATAATTTTATATATATTTTTAATATATTTTATATCTTCAAAAGCTTTTATACATATATAAAATTTTGACATTTCCAAACATATATGTTGAAGGATTAACAGATGACAATTACTAAAGGGTTGAGAGCATAAAAACATTATACACTGCGTGTCCAATTTTTTATTGTCTTATTATGTCAATCTTTCTATATTTTATTTTATCATTTATTTATAGTCTCCTATTAAAATATGGATATGGGAGAGAGTAAATAGATAAATTTCAAGATAAAGCTTTTGTATATTTAAAAAAAGTTGGAAGTATAAAAAATGAATTTGATAATAAAATTTATGAAGGATAATGATAGATAAAAAATAAAGTTTTAATAAATTAAAATTTAAAATTATTATTTTGTTTATATAATTAAAATTAATATATTATTATTTATTGTCAATATTATTTATTATTATGATTAATTATATATATATATATATATATATATATATATATTTCTTTTGCTTTTCTTTACATTCACAAGATTTTGTTAGCTTTTTTTAATATAAAAGTTGTTTTTGTCAATTGTCATTTTATTTTGGTTTCGTGAATATACAACATGTATTTTGATTAGTGTTGACAATGTTTATATCAAGGTCATGGAAACAAAGATGGTGTCATAGTTTATAGTTTAACAAAAGTATAAATCTTAGCTATTGAAACTCCCACAATTATGGGAATCGGTTCCACCCCATTAAATTATATTGTTTCGGTTATGGGCTGAGTCACCAAAGTCAGCATACGAATAGTTCAGTAAATCAATAGAACAATAATAAATGTGCAGTAAATGCAATTCATCTACCACTTAGATTTGACCTGTATTTATAGTTTTTGTCATGAGTTTGAGATTAGTGAAGAGTTAATCACGATCCAATTTTAGTCCAATAACTCTAATAGCTACCCATTAGGTTGGTTTAGCGTTGCTTTCTCTAGACATGGTACATATAATCACAAAATCGGTTTTATTTCACTCAAAATTGATTCTCACTACTTAAAAGTTTAAAATACATCCATATAATCAATGTGATTTTTATGAGAGTAAAATGGTAAAACTTGTATCTCATTTTCAAATCACCTCACTTCAACCGAGATTAAAAAACCGATGTATCTCACAAATACATTTTCTTCCCTCACCCTAAAATGACTGAAAATAAACACGAATCATAATAGTAAATCTGCGTCTCTCAATCTCTATAAACAATCTCTATAAAGAGTAAATCCACCCAATAGAACACATTAGTGCTGGGGTAATTTGTGCCAAATATGGATTTTCGTTAGCCAGAAGGGCCGTTTCTCAAATGTCGTATAAAAGGGTCATTTAAACTGCACCGTCTTTTCAAAAAAAGAGTGACTATTTTGTTTCTAATTGATTTTATTTTTCAATCCGAAATTCACAAATAATTAAGATTACTAAAACCTATTAATAGCATTTATATCGAGATTCACTTTCAGTTATTTGATGATTTCTCATGGAAACGTAATTTGAAAGTGCATTTTGAATAAACTTTTATTTTGTTTATTAAAGTTGGATGATTTCTGATCAAATCATAGTTAAAGTTATAAAAATAAGAGATTACGTGTCCTTAGCAGTTAGGTCGAATACAAATTATTTTGAGGAAGAACACCTGTTAGTGATGTGTGATTGATGTGCAGAGGAAGGCATTGATTCACATCGCAGGAATAGTCAGATTCAATGGTCCAGACCCATCCTTATATCTAAAAATACACAAGAACAACAAATTATAAAATTGTAAATAAAGTAGCGCTAAATTATTAGATGAAATGTGTTTTAGGGGTAGCATTCTAGTGCAATCAATTACATCTTGGACCATTCTAGCTAGTGCTCCATGCACTAATAATAAAAACAAGCGATGGAAGGAAACTTCCTTAAGATAATGACAAAGATTCAAGGAACAATCCTTTTTACTCACTATCAGTGTATAAATTAAACTTACGACAATAATTTGTTCGTAGAATGTTCTTATTCGTTTCACTAAGTACATTTAACTGGATTCTTTGATATAAAAAAGAAGGGAGTAATCTTGGATTTATGTAGTGGTCCGATTTGCTTTATACGAATAGAAAAAATAATCATCATTATACGCATCAAGCACACTTTTGATCCAACTCCAAATCTTCTATGACAACCTTATTGGTGCCACTCATTGAGGTATTAAATCTTCTATGCGTGTCCGGTACGATATTGGGGACCTAATATTTGCATATTCAAGTGGGAAATATGCGATGAAAAATGTAGCCTTTTAGTTTTTTGTGACTTAAAACTGAAAGGAGAATTGATGCAAGGGGTTTAAAAAGCACCCAAGTTGCTCTAATAGCATCATTCCATTCCAAAACTTCCAATGACCCATTGAAGATCATAGGATATGT